TTTCAGTTTTTAAGACAATAACACCTAAAAGAGTTATTGAATTGATATTAGAAGACCTTCAAAATAACAAACTATGGTATTCTAGCATCTAAAAAAGCGTCTGTAATCCGTCTGTTTTTGTAATAACTAAATTATTTATTAGTTCGTCATTCGTAGAAAATTTTTTCCCCTGATCCTATCCTTCAACAATGTACCCCTCTAACATCGGGTAAGCCGCGAGTTTTCGGCCCAACTCCTACTAGACATAGATATAAGTGAATTTGGTCAAAAACAATGAACCATGAATTATAGGCTCCGTAAAGCTAACACGATTGAGCCTTCCAAATAAACGAACTAGATAAAAAAAAAATATCCCGAAAAATTGACAGTTGTTCTAGAAATGATCATAATTAAACAGAATTCTTTCATCCTCGCTCTAATGGCTCATATATAACACAACTAGTAGCATCTCTCCTTGATTGCTACAATACTGCTGATCTTATGCAACGAAACGAGATCCTCAATGAAAATCATAGAGTGCTTGATGTATGTTTTTTTAGCCGTGAACTCGCCTCTAATTTTTCGGTCCAAGAGGCACCCGAACCACTAGTTAAACGTTGTAGACACCATCCACCTCTGCAGTTATCATTACGCTTATGTCAGGGCTGACCTTCAAGGGAATGACAACCTTTTTCGAAAACATCAGCTGAGTCGATGAATTCCGTGATCGTGACGTGAATGCTCCCTCTTCTGTTTTCTCAAATATTGTAATCTATGCCATCGGTCGTTTGTACTCATGACAACTCCACCCATACCTCCCAACAAACAATTTTAGCTGCAGCTTAGCTTATACAGGCAAAAATTAGCTGCATAAGGCAAATTTTGGCTGTATAAGCTAATCTGCAGCTAAAATTGTTTGTTGGGCTAGTAACCCTCCTTGATCCAACCCCCTACTCAAGAGTCTGAGTTATCCAAATGAGCAACCTTGAAGAAATTTTGTAAACTTCGAACGGGGGCGTCGAAGAGGAAGCATAACCTCGTTAACAAGCAGTATAATCAGCTCAACAAACAACTTTATCGAGCCCATCAGCACCAACTAAAAACTAAACTCAAAGCAAATCCTCCATCCTCCAGATCCAGATGGGTTCGTCCATCCTCAATGCAGTTGTTCAACCATTGCACCCTTGGCAGCAGCTCTTCTGGACAGCTACAGTACTGCTGACCTCCTGCAACTAAATAGTGTTTCCAATGAGAATGACAAATTGCTTGATTTATGTTTTCTTAGCTGTGAGGTTGCTCTTAGTTGCACGATTTATGAGGCGCCTGTGCCACAAGTTAAGCGTTGTAGGCATCATCCACCTCTGCAGATATCATTGAAATTGAGCCAGGGGTCACGACACCAGGCATTTTCTTTTCGTAACACTATGGATAGCATTTCATATGACTACTGGATGGACTTCGATGGAATGACGTGATCATGACGTAAATATTTCTTCGACTATTTTTACGAATATTGTTGTTTATGCAATCGATCAGTTCGTACCGAAGAAAACTCAAGTCATACCAACTCACCCTCCATGGTCAAACCCTCGTTTGAAACATCTTAAACCATCTAAACGGGCTGCCTTGAAAAAGTTTTGCAAACTGCGAACTGACGTGTCGAGAAAGAAATACATACGCATTAACAAGCAGTAAGGGCAGCTCAACAAGCAACTCTACCTAGAACACCAGCGTCAACTACAAAATAAGCTCAAAACTGATTCTAAAAGCTTCTGGAATCACGTGAAAGATCAACGAAAGGAAACGGGTCTGCCCTCCACGATGTGGATGGTATCGCGGATCTATTCAGGTAACATTTCTGCAGTGTTTTCGTCAACGAGGAGCTCTCTGACGAACACGTTTCAGATGCAGCAAGTGAGGTTCCCATACGTTCAGCTGTTGAATCTCATCCACCTTTATCGAGAGATGACGTCCAAAGAGCAGGCCTTCGCTTAAAAATTCTTCCAGTATTGGTATTGGATGGAATTCCATCTGTGGCGATTAAAAACTGTATCGGAGTCTTGAGCGCACCACTAGCATTCATATTCAACCTCTCGTTGAATTCTGGAATCTTCCCGGATGGCTGGAGGAATTCTTTCGTTTTTCCTGTCTTCAAGAAAGGCGATAAACAGTCAGTAATCACCTATCGAGGCATTGCGGCTTTGTGCGCAGATTCAAAACTTTTTGAGCTGATAGTTTTGGATTATTTTAAACACACTTGCTCCAGTTACGTTGCCTCCGAACAATATGGATTTATGCGGAAGAGATCCACAGCATCAAATCTCGTGCAATACACATCTTTTACGTTTCGCAAACTTGAAAAAGGCAAACAAGTTGATGCTATCTACACGGATCTCGGATACACGGAACCACAAGATTGCTGTTGCCAAATTAGAGCGATTGGGCTTCCATGGTCAGTGAAAATAGGTGACCGTATTCCGCAGGCGTTTCCGGTTTCTTCTGATGTTCCCCAAGGTAGTCATATTGGGCCATTTGTATTTCTGCTGTATTTGAATGACATTCACTATTCAATCAGGTGTCCGAAGCTATCTTATGCGGATGATTTTAAATTGTATTTTGTCGTAAAGGATCGTAGTGATTCAGTTTTCCTTCAACAACAGCTGGACGTTTTTGTTACTTGTTGTCACAAGAATAGGATGGTATTGAATGATTTCAGATGTTCCATCATCATTTTCTGCAGAAATCACCCACCTGCTTTACGTACAGCCTTCATGGTCAGACACTGAATCGGGAGACTATACTCAAAGACTTAGGAGTCATGTTAGATTGTCAACTAACCTTCAAGGAGCATGTGTCATATGTCGCCAGTAAAGCATCTTCTCAGATTGGCTTTATTTGTTGCTTTGCTAAAGATTTCAGAGACACTTCGTGCTTGAAAACGCTTTATTGTTCACTAGTCCGTTCGACACTGGAATACTGTTCAGTAGTTTGGGCGCCGTTTTACAACAATGCCACGAATCGACTTGAGTCTATTCAGAGGAGATTTTTTCGCTATGCTCTTCGTTGGCTACCCTGGAGAGACCCCCGTAAACCTCCCTAATTATGAAAGTCGATGTAATTTGCTGAGCCTACAACTTCTCAGTGTTCACCGTGACGTCGTTAAGGCTGTCTTCATCGCCGATCTCCTACGTTCGGACATTGACTGTAGTCCTCTTTTGCAACAGCTTAACATTAATATAAGACAAGTCAATTTGCGAACCCACTCTTTCTTTACGATTCCGACTTCTCGTAAAAACTATGGTGCAAACGAACCAATTACTAGCATGTGTAAATTTTTTAATAGATGTTATAACTTTTTGACTTCAATGCTTCCCGTGCTTGCCTTAAGTATTTATTCTATAATGTGTTATCATCCTGATTAAGTAAAGATTAAAGATATATGCATCTGTAGGATTTTATGTTATCTGTTGATACGAAAAGAAGAGGTTTTCCGCCCACTTGAGAAAGGGCAAGGTTGGTCCTTCTGAAGTGGGCTTTTCCCTCTCCATAAATAAATAAATCGCAAGCTTCTGGAATTATGTGAACGGTCAACGGAAGGAATCGGGCTTACCTTCTACCGTGTTCAATACCGATCGAGAAACCTCAGAGTTCATGTCACAATTCAGTGGTGTCAACGTCAACGAAAATTTATCTAGCGAGCATCGTAGCCGCCGTAAGGGAGGTTCACGTACATTCGCTTGCAAAATTCTTTCAGCGTTGGCCCTGACGGAATCCCTTTCGCGGTTATCAGGAACTGTATTGGAGTCCCTGCCGCACCTTTAACATATATTTACTGAATTTTGAATGCTTCAATTTTTATCAGAAATGCTGCTATTTTAAGGTATCCTTTATCAACAAAATATCTCCTCAAAAACATAATTATCCATGTGCAACTCAGATGATTATGGCATGCTTTTATGTTAATAACAAACATGAATAATCTAGGGCTACGCGTAGGGCAGTGCAAAATCTCGAATGATCTGTTAATATTTCAAACGAAAAGAAATCTACTTCCAGTAATCAATCATTTGATTCACTTAAGTGGATTTAAAACTTTATTACTTTAGACTAACAACGATAACACAAATTTGCAGACTCTTAAAGTTTTGAAAATTTATCAAGGTTCAAAATCAGAAAATAAAAGTAAAGTCCCTTACAATTTTCTCCATAATATTCAAGAAATTATTCATGGAAGAGTCTTTGATTCACTCTGAAATTATCTCACAATTCTTAATTAGGTTTGCTGTATTACCTAGGAATGCCCCATTCATTCATTTAAGTCCATAAGCTGTAAAACTTTTGCAAGTCACGTATGAAACAAAAATCTGCGTTCGTTGTCGTCTTGAATATTTATTTTCAAGCCCAATTAAATTATATCCAGGGGTTTAAACAAATTTCTAAGTTTTTTGTTCTAATCCATGCCTCATCTGCAAAAAAAAAGTTTCAGAATGTATGCTGTTACTGAAGGTAAATCCACTCCAAATTATCATGTTCAATGAGTAAAAGTGAGCAATGAAGAAGATAAAGTTGGTTGTATTATAACATGTTTTGAAATTCATTGGCGTTCTTTAATATATTCTATTCTTATTTTTAAGTATTACTTGATGCTGGAGAATTTCAAAGTTCTCTGAAAATTTCAGGTTTTTACAGGTAAAATAAAATTTCCTGAAGACTCCATATTTTCCAGAATTTCCAAGATAGTAGACACCTTGAAAGTAACCTTTCCAGGTTCGATCTTCGTCCAACCTGATCCCCAATGCACTGCATTATTGAAGTCTGCAAGCGTGTTTTTACAATCAACAGGCTTTTCAACGTCTACGATTGCTTAGTGTATGAAAAGTTCACGCAGTATTCACTCCACCACCACTACTAACAGTAGCCATGTTTACACTACCAAACTAGCTACTGTAACTAACTCATAAGTTCTTCTATAACCACACATCAACACAGTAACGAAACAGCAAAGGATAATAAAAATAATCTTCCCAAAGGTCATCAGTTTATTTACAATACTCATCCATTCCACCCGATACGACACCAAAACGTACACCACTTTGAACTATCATATACGAAAATCAACAACAACATAAAACACTTCACAGCTTTGAGCGCGTATTTTTGGCAAGCTCGCGAAGCTCCCGGCGCAATATTTTACCGGTTGGAGTTTTCGGGATGGCATCAATAAATCTAACACCGCCGTGGAGCTTTTTCTGCGGTGACACCTGCTCGGCTACGAATTTGACGATCTCTTCACCGCTCACTTCTTCGCCATCTTCCTTGACGACGAAAGCCGTTGCCAACTCTCCGACCCTCTCATCCGCAATTCCAATCACAGCTGCATCTTTAACCTTGGGGTGTTTCAACAGAATAGCTTCCAGCTCTGCGGGTGGCACCTGGAAGCCCTTGTATTTGATGAGCTCCTTGATCCGGTCGACAATGAAGAAGTCCTCATCATCGTCATAATAACCGACATCCCCAGTATGCAGCCAACCATCCTGATCGATTGCGTGCTCCTTTCCCACGTAACCTTTCATTATGAGCGATCCTTTGAAGCACAACTCTCCGCGTTGGTTCGGACCAAGGATCTTCCCCGTTTCGGGATCGACAACCTTTACCCACTGACCCAACCGGACCTTCCCGACGCATCCAGCTTTGTTCTCGAATCCGGTCTGCATCAGCACTCCGAGTGTTGTCTCACTCATGCCATACCCCTGCCGAATAAATGCCACTCCCAGCCGTTCCCGTACCTGATCTTCGATTTCCTTACTCAACGGGGCAGCTCCACAGATCAGCGTCATCAAGGACGATAGATCATAATTATCGACAATGGAGTGCTTTGCTAGAAATACCATCAGCGGTGGAACCACTGTCATTAGGTTAACCTTATGTTTCTGAATACTGTCCAGGAAGAGATGCACGTCAAATTTGGGCATCAGAACGCACCGGCAGTTGTTGGTGACCATGTTGATTAGTCCAACTCCCGCTACCACATGATAAAGAGGTGTAGCTGCAAGGGCAACCAGCTGATCAGGTAGTTCCAAAATCTTACTGGCTTCCTTCGAATGGGCCACCGTGGTCATTAGGTTCATGTGAGTTAGTTGCACTCCCTTTGGCAGACCGGTAGTACCAGAGGAGAGTACGATCATCGCTACGTGGGACCTAACGTCCACTGACTCAGGTACATAGTTGCTGGGGACAGCAGCTCGATCGAGTAATTTCGAGTAACTCATCACTTCCGGATAAGTGGAAGCCTTGGGATGATCTCCAAACAACACCACCTTTACATTCAATTGCATCTTCCGAATCACGCCGATCATTTTTTCCAACACATTCGGTGAGACAAAAACAAGTTTCGGCTGCGATAAATTGAGTGCATGCTGAAGTTCGCCTGAAATAATCGAACAATCAAACGTATTGAATAGAAAAACCAATCCACCGACACCATGAGATAGGCGTTTATCGCATACGCGATAGCAGCCAAACACGGTGGGGGGAAACCGCTGACTTACCTTCAACATAGGCCGGGTTCAAGAGTGCAAGCGGTGAAGCAACGAAAATTGAACCGAACATGGCAAGACAGTACTCCAAACAATTCTCGCTGACGATGGCAATTGGAGTGGATCTGGTGAGTCCCAGTTGAGTCAACCCCGCAGCGACCCTAGCTGATTGGTCCAAGATTTGCTGATAGGTCAGTTGAACTTCGCTTTCGGGGTCAATCTGCGTAAAAGATGCCTCATTAGAATGGAATGTCAGTTTTTCACTAATATTAGACTACTAACCAATCCGATATTGTCCGGCCGTTCCCGTAGTTCTTTGACGATCATAGCTCCGAGTGAGCCATCCTGCAGTAATTCCTCCGGATCGGGGCCGCCGTACAGAATGTACTTCTCATCATCACGCGATGTCGTCATATTCGAACGTGTTCTAACGGATTTGGTGTTTTGCTTGGTTGATTAGCTAATACTGCTACGGTGGCTGCTGCTGCTGCTGCTGCTGCTGTCGATGCTTGCTCACTGGAACGTTGAAGACGAGCGACTGGAGCTCTATGAATCGGTAGAATGGACTAAAGGTAGATTCAACGTAAATCGCAATAAATGAGCCGAGGAGGTTTTTTTTTCTCTTCTTTTTGTTGGTAAACAGACGCACCATACATAAGAAGACATCGACCGGCTAAGGTGGTGAGCACGTGGTCAGTCGGTGTGTGAAGCCAAATATGTACCATACCATATAGCTGATACGCACTAGCCCATGGCTAGCGAGTGTTTGTTGATGTGTTGGTTTTTAGACGTCACTTGGCGCGATGCTCGTTTCATTACTCGCGCGAGCAAGCATTGCCAATGGTGGTATAAAAGTAATTTTAAGAACCTGAATTATATCCACCTGCCCGCAAAAAGTTCAATTGATGAAGTTTACTTAGTCTGTTTGACATTGGAATTCGTTCTATGAGCAGTCTTTTAATTTGGGCATAAAAAATCGAGAAAATTGCTCTTTGACTTCGCTGGTCATGTACAGTCAGGAATCCTTATTGCCGGGGTAACGGGGGCGTGAATAAGGAACCGCGAATAAGGATACCCACAGCTTATGGGATTTTCACTAATGGGGGCTGTAGTGGATTATCTCATTTGTTTCAATACATAAAGCTATACTGTCTTCGACAAAGTTGCTGTACTGGGTTAGACCGATAAGCCTGTGCCATTGGATTCGGGTTAAATTGAGAACTACGCCGCTAGAGGCGCTTCACTTTTATGTTACTTATGACTGGCGCTATAATATATGGATCATATTTCCAACATAGAATATTTCGTGATCCTGACCATATAGAAAGTTCCTGTCTTGAGCAAAGTTGTTCAGGTGACCAAGTCCTTTCGGATGGTGGCCATATTAGTTCAGAACTCTCTCACTACGCAGCGCTAGTGTGCATGTGCAATTCCTATATAAACTGTATCTCGAGAGCCTGGCCATATAGAAAGTTGCTGTTTTCAGCAAAGTTGTGCAGGTGATCAATTCCTTTTGGATGGTGGCCATATTAGTTCAGAACTCTCTCACTACGCAGCGCTAGTGTGCATGTGCAATTCCTATATAAACTGTATCTCGAGAGCCTGGCCATATAGAAAGTTGCTGTTTTCAGCAAAGTTGTGCAGGTGATCAAGTCCTTTTGGATGGTGGCCATATTAGTTCAGAACTCTCTCACTACGCAGCGCTAGTGTGCATGTGCAATTCCTATATAAACTGTATCTCGAGAGCCTGGCCATATAGAAAGTTGCTGTTTTCAGCAAAGTTGTGCAGGTGATCAAGTCCTTTTGTATTGGATGGTGGCCATATTAGTTCAGAACTCTCTCACTACGTAGCGCTAGTGTGCATGTGCAATTCTTATATAAACTGTATCTCGAGAGCCTGGCCATATAGAAAGTTGCTGTTTTCAGCAAAGTTGTGCAGGTGATCAAGTCCTTTTGGATGGTGGCCATATTAGTTCAGAACTCTCTCACTACGCAGCGCTAGTGTGCATGTGCAATTCCTATATAAACTGTATCTCGAGAGCCTGGCCATATAGAAAGTTGCTGTTTTCAGCAAAGTTGTGCAGGTGATCAAGTCCTTTTGGATGGTGGCCATATTAGTTCAGAACTCTCTCACTACGCAGCGCTAGTGTGCATGTGCAATTCCTATATAAACTATATCTCGAGAGCCTGGCCATATAGAAAGTTGCTGTTTTCAGCAAAGTTGTGCAGGTGATCAAGTCCTTTTGGATGGTGGCCATATTAGTTCAGAACTCTCTCACTACGCAGCGCTAGTGTGCATGTGCAATTCCTATATAAACTGTATCTCGAGAGCCTGGCCATATAGAAAGTTGCTGTTTTCAGCAAAGTTGTGCAGGTGATCAAGTCCTTTTGTATTGGATGGTGGCCATATTAGTTCAGAACTCTCTCACTACGCAGCGCTAGTGTGCATGTGCAATTCTTATATAAACTGTATCTCGAGAGCCTGGCCATATAGAAAGTTGCTGTTTTCAGCAAAGTTGTGCAGGTGATCAAGTCCTTTTGGATGGTGGCCATATTAGTTCAGAACTCTCTCACTACGCAGCGCTAGTGTGCATGTGCAATTCCTATATAAACTATATCTCGAGAGCCTGGCCATATAGAAAGTTGCTGTTTTCAGCAAAGTTGTGCAGGTGATCAAGTCCTTTTGGATGGTGGCCATATTAGTTCAGAACTCTCTCACTACGCAGCGCTAGTGTGCATGTGCAATTCCTATATAAACTGTATCTCGAGAGCCTGGCCATATAGAAAGTTGCTGTTTTCAGCAAAGTTGTGCAGGTGATCAAGTCCTTTTGGATGGTGGCCATATTAGTTCAGAACTCTCTCACTACGCAGCGCTAGTGTGCATGTGCAATTCCTATATAAACTATATCTCGAGAGCCTGGCCATATAGAAAGTTGCTGTTTTCAGCAAAGTTGTGCAGGTGATCAAGTCCTTTTGGATGGTGGCCATATTAGTTCAGAACTCTCTCACTACGCAGCGCTAGTGTGCATGTGCAATTCCTATATAAACTGTATCTCGAGAGCCTGGCCATATAGAAAGTTGCTGTTTTCAGCAAAGTTGTGCAGGTGATCAAGTCCTTTTGTATTGGATGGTGGCCATATTAGTTCAGAACTCTCTCACTACGTAGCGCTAGTGTGCATGTGCAATTCTTATATAAACTGTATCTCGAGAGCCTGGCCATATAGAAAGTTGCTGTTTTGAGCAAAGTTGTGCAGGTGCGCAAGTCCTTTCGGATGATGTTCATATTAGTTCAGAACACGCTCACTACGCGGCGCTAGTGTGCAAGTAAATTTCCTGTATAAGCTGTATCACGAGAACCTGGCCATATAGAAGGTTACTGTCTTGAGAAAAGTTGTTCAGGTCACTAAGTCCTTTCGGATGATGGTCATATTATTTCATTACCCTCACACTACGCGGCGCTAGTGTGCACATGAACTTTCTTAATATGTTATGACTCCAAAGCTTGTACATATAAGATGTTGCTGTGCAATGTGAGAACAGGAACCGGAAAAAGGATGATGTGTAGAGGCCGAAAATCGATGTCAGATGCCATTTTGGAATCCAATATGGCGGCCATCGGTTCAAGAAAAACTGTCAAATACCGTACAATATGGATATTTTTGGAAAGGGGATGACGTGTAGAGGCTGGAAATCGTTGCCAGACGTCATTTTGGAATCCAAGATGGTGGCCATCGGGTCAAGAAAAACTGTCAAATACCCTATAATACGGGTATTTCCGGAAAGGGAACGACGTGTAGAGGCCGAAAATCGATGCCAGTCGCCATTTTGGAATCCAAGATGGCGATCATCGGGTCAAGAAAAACTGTCAAATACCCTACAATATGGGTATTTCCGGATAGGGAACGACGTGTAGAGGCCGGCCATTTTGGAATCCAAGATGGTTGCAGTTGTTGTTGTTGCCTGCTTTGATAAAATTTACACAAAAATCAATTTTACGGATGTTCCGGATCTTCTCACGGACCATCTGGTGACTACTCAGAGCCATTGAACAGCAAATATCTAAAATCACCATTTTACTACATTTCACGTAGTTGCAGAGCAAAATCAAGGCCTACTTTAATCAAATTTGCGCAGCAATACATTTTATGGGTGTTCCGGATCTTTCGGCGAGCCACTTGGAGCCAGTGAACAGCTAATATATAAAAAAAATCATAATATTTCTACATTATATACAGTTGCAATTAAAAATCAAGGCATACTTTAACGAAATTTACTTAGCAACCAATTTTACGGATGTTCCAGATCTTTCGGTGGGTCATCTGGTGACCATTTGGAGCCAATGACCAGCTAATATTTCAGAAATCACAATTTTACTGTATTCCATATAATCGCGGAGGAAAATCAAGGCCTACTTTGATCAAATTTACACAGCAATCAATTTACGGATGTTCTGTATCTACCAGCGGACCATCTGGTGATAACTCGGAGCCATTGAACAGCTAACATATCAAAAATCACCATTTTACAACATTTCTCATTGTTGCAGAGAAAATCAAGGCCTACTTTGATCGAATTTATGTATCACTAAATTTTACGGATGTTTCGGATCTTCTGGCGGATCACCTGGTGACCACTTGGAGCCATTGAAATGCTTATATATCTAAAATCATTAATTTACTACATTTCATATAGTTGCAGAGAATAATCAAGGCCTACTTTGATCAAAAATACATAATAATCCAGATTAAGGTTGATCCAGGTCATCGGAAGGCCTTCCGGTGGACGCTCAGTATTTAGAACCAGGTTATGGGTTGATTTTGTTAAAATATTAATCAGCACTACCCATAGATGCCTGTTGCTGTGGATTTTCAGCACCACCTTGTTGTAGACGACTGGTACCTTTTCTCCCCCCGATGGCCTCTCGGAAACTCGGAATAAAACCGGAACCACTTGGCCATTTTTTTCCAATTTTTAGTAGACCATAATTTCGAACATTTTTCTACTCACTGTGAAAATTTCAACCAATTTCATGGTTAAACAAAAAAGTTATACCTATGTAAACATTGCTATTCGTATACCTGTTCGTAAAAATAAAAACTGCACAAGCGCAGAAGTAAAGCAGGTGGTGTTCGTTTGAAACGCTAATAACTTTTCGGGGGTAACTCGGATTCACATCCGATCTTCAGCCAAGATGTTCCCAATACTCCAAAAGTGATACATTTTGTACACGAAGAAAATCGACCCACTACAGCGCCACCTAGAGCCGCGAATGTGAAAGTGGCTCGCTCCCCCATACATTTTGTCGATTTTCCCCATACAAATTTCAAGCCGTTTGAGCGAGGGGTTCCCGTGAACCAAATGACTTCAAATTTTGACAGGGTGATTCTGACCCCCCAAACTACCATTCCAGAGGGTAGCGTTTGAAATTCCAGACTTTGACTTTTTTTTCCATATAACGCTGAAACACTCTAGTGACCATGGAAAACATGTTGCCGCCATATT